CTACAGAGACCGCAGCTCCTCCGACCTCCTGACTAACACTTCCTGAGAGACCTCGAGTCAAGACCACTCAGCAGAGTCCCTCCCAAGCTTCCAACCCCTGAAGCTGGAAGACCGGGGTTGCAACAGCAGGAGACCGGGGTTGACATCGCTAGATTCTGAGGGTACTTTGCTCCCTGTCGGGATCTGGGGGGGCATGCACGTGTGCCTGGTGTTTTGTTCAAGCCACTGTGGCCGGGATTTGAGCCACGGTTGGCCATGTGAGATCTGGCCCCCTTAACCATTGCACTATGGGGCCGACTCTCTTTTTCTTTTGTTCTGACACGATTTCAGATTTACATAAAAGTGGCAAGACTGACAAATGCTTCCTAGATGATCTTCACCTAGGCTTCCGACTTTTATTCTTTTCTCTATGTAGTCATGTATGTGTATATAGTTTTTCAGAATCATTTGCGAGTAAGTTGCAGACGCATTGCTTCAGTACCCCAAAGTATTTCAGTGTCTATTTCCTAAGAACGAGGACCTTCTCTTTCATAACCAGAATGTAATTAGGAAAATCGGGAATTAACATGGACTGGCACAATACTTTGAACTAAGCCACAGATTTTTTTTTTTCCTGTTTTTACCAGTTTTCCCAAGAGTATCCTTTATGGCGAAAGAAAACCCTGGCGTGTACGTTGGTTTAGCGTCCTGCTCTTCGGGTAGTCTGACACGATTCTTTGGTTTCTTAGCCGTTCAGGACTCGGCCATTTTGGGCAAGATCAAGTCAGTTACTTTGTAGACTGAATCTTGCTTCGAGTGTGTCTGGCTTTCTCTCAATTAGCTGTGAATTGTGCATCTTGGGAGGAACACCCAGGAGCATCCATGTCCTTCCCAGGCATCGATCTGTTTGTGCCATTGTTGGCATCGTAACTGCTACCCTAAGGTTGATGTCCCGGCCAGGTTTTTCTCATGTGAAGTTACTGTTTTTTAAATTACGTATTTAATTTCATCTATTATTATTTTTTAAAAAAAATTGACCAGAGAGAGACAGGAAAAGTGAGAAAACAAGTTGCCAGGTCTGGGTCTTGAACTGCAGTCAGACATGTGGGAGTCCAGTGCCTTAGCCACCACACCACCTGCCGGCCCCAAGTTACTGCTTTTCCCAGCAGAGGCCAATGCTGAAAGGTGAGATGGAGGAGAACGATCAGGAAAACAGCCTGGAAGGGGCAGCTAGAAGAAACTAGGATGCCCTGGAACTGCACAGGGTCGGTGCTGCTGAGAGGCCAGCCTGGAGGAGGGAGCAGTGTGCTTGGTCCAGGTCCCTGCAGGTCAGTGGAAGCCAGTCCAGCAGAGCTGGGTGGAGCCGGGGCCCTTTGGCATTTGCAGTAGGCAAGAGTCACATGTGAATGGGAGGAGAGAGTGGAGGCCACAAGAAAAGAGGGCAGGAAATTTGTGTGGAGACTGGGGCTAGGGAGAGGGTGCTTCTGGATAGATGGAGGACTTAGGGTACCCGGTGTGGGAAGGTGAGAGCAGGGGCAGAGGGGAGGGAGCGGGTAGTGCCCCAGGGGAGGAAACCGTGGCAGCAGATTGGGAAGGGTGGCATTTTGTCTGATGAGGAGCAGGAGGGCAGGGGGTTGGAGGGTGGGGCAGAGGGGGTTGCACATGAGGGGGCCTGGGAACTGGGGAGGCTGTGGGTTAGTGGGCGGTCCCGGGGAGCCCCGGGCCAGCAGATAATGGAGGGGGTTTGGGCAGCGTGGAGGCAGCGAAGAGCCAAGGCCACCAGGGCTAAAGTGGGGACAGACGGCAGCCCCCAGGGGCTGAGCAGGGGCGGCCTGGGTGCCGGGACCTTTGGGGACGGAGCGCATGACAGGATACTGCCAGGTACCGGGGAGAGTCCCCTCCCCGTGGACTCGGACTCCGAAGTGCGGGCGTAGTGGCAGAGTGGCCAGCCTTCAGAGGGCCGGGACCCCCTGTGGGGCTGAGCCAGGACTCAGGGAAGTGGCTTGGTTTCCCCTGGAGAGCCAGGCATAAGGGCACCGAGGGAGCATGTGGGAGGAAGGCAGGGAGGTTTTCCACCCCAGGTCCGGCCCCCGGCAGCACTGGGGACCCTACGGCTGACGAGAAGGGGCTGGGAGGCAGCACTGCCTGTGGCCTGATGCCAACAGAGCCCAGTCAGTCCAGCCTTGCCCAGCCCTCCCAGTCCGGAGATCAGAGACGCGGTTGCCCTGGGGTGTGGGGGTGAGGGGGGGATCACTGCTACTGGGCTGGAACCTGCTCTCGGTTCTGAGGCTCCCCGTCCCCGAGGGCCTCCAGCGGGGTCTGCAGCTGCAGCGTGCCGTTCCTGGAGCTGGAATGAGCTCAGAGCAGGCCGGTTTCCATTACATCAGAGCCTATGTCCCAAAGGCTCGTGTCCTGGCACCTCTGCCCCTGACGTCACAGACCTCGGGCCCCGCCTTGATCCCTCAGGGCCTCAGTTTCCCTATCTGTACACTGGGCGGTGAAAGCCAGCAGTCCTTGGGCGTGGTCAGTGTAAACCTCTCACCTGGCTCAGATCAAACCCCCCCGTCTGAGTTCGGCCTGGCTGGGTGAGCAGCCCCAGGGTCCCGTAAGCCTCCTGGGTGCCCAGGAGTGGCAGAGTCTGCGCAGTCTTCAGCCTGGAGCTTGCCCACTGGTCACACCAGCGGCCAGCCTCTCCATACTTCCACTCACACTCCTGCCTGAGGGGACTCTGGGCCACGGCACAGGAAGTGGCCCTCCTGGCTTCAAGGACACACTGCCTTCTTCACTTGCCTCCCATTCCTCCGATACGCCACCCCGGACACGGATCTCCGAAGATGCTATGCCCTGGGACGGGCGTCTGGGAAGGGGCTACCAGACAGTCACACCTTAGCGCGAAATCACTGGCCGATCCTTGGCCACGGGAAACAGACTGACAGAGGGAGGGCCTGTCTGACCTGGGTGGGGCGGTGGGAGGGCAGGGGGCTGTGTGCAAGGGCCCCCCGCCACCAGGCCTCCCTTTCACTCCCTTTCCTCAGTCCCAGGGCACTGCTGGGAGTGAGAAGCTGGCCTGTGGGTGGGCTGGGGAGTCGTGCTGCCGCCCACTTTTCCTCCCCTGACCCGGGGTCCTGGGCGTCCTCAGGCCTTATAGCCAGGCTAGTGGCAGGGGCCACGGGCCGACTGTGGGGAGCACAAAGCGTGGAATTTCTGCACGGCAGTTCCGACGCCGTCACGGCGACTGAGGGCATCAACACTCCGGCTTCCAGGCCCAGCTCTGCCCTGACGTCATCTGGCTCCCGCCTGCGGAGCCCCTGCTGGCTGCGTCCCAGGCCTCGGCGGCTCCAGTGAGAGCTGCTGCCGCCCCAGCCCCCACGCGGCCCCTGGGGTGGTCTAGAGGGAGTGGGCAGAGGGGGCCCGGCCCGGGGCTCCCGAGGTTCCTCCCGGCCTGCTGCTGCCATCCCGCCAAAGCTGCTGCCGCGCCCGCCCTGGCCCCAGTCATGAAGCTGCCCAAGGGGGCCCGGAACGCCGTGTTCTATGCACAGCACCCCGAGGAGGAGGTGCAGGTGCCCACCCGGCAGGAGGTCAAGCAGACCCCCATCATCATGGCTCTGATCAAAGGTGAGAACCCGCGTGGGCTGGGCCTGCTCCTTCCTGCAGTGCTGCCGGGGTCCCTGCTATCCAGTCCTGCCTCCAGCCGAGCCCGAAGCCCCTCAGACCCTCCTGGAAGTCGTGCAGGAGACCTGGGAGGAGGGGAGGCCGGGATGCATGGCAAGGCCGGTTTTGGGAAAAGCCATGCTCTGGTTTCATCATGTCCCTCAGTCTCACTCTCCAGGGTGGATGAGCTGAGTCTTACTACGCTGTGAGTGACTGCCTATCGCTCCAGGTTTGGGGGGGCGGCTCGGTGAGTGATTACATGCTCGGTTCTGGGCTGTCATCTCAGACTTCTCACGTTACCTGCTTGCAGGACTTTGGCAGGTCGGAATTGCTAAGCCTCAGTGTTTCCATCCGGGAGATGGAAAATGGCACGTCTCCCGCAGGCTCCTTGGGAGGCGGCGCCAGAGGAATCCGTGTCAGCGCTTGGCTTAGTGCCCAGCACACAGCCTCATGGCTGGAAGGGTTACCTTTCTTATTTTCTTTTTAAAATTTGCTTGAGGCCTCACGTGCTCACAGAGACGGAGAAGAAGAGAGGGAAAGCGAGAGTTCAGCCCTCAGGGCAGACGGCCCCGCTGTAGTCTCTCCCTCCAGTCTCCTCCGGGGTCTTGGGCACGCATGCACACATCCCTGGTGTTTTTCAAGTCGCCAGGCCTGGGATTCGAACCATGTAGACGGTCATGTGGGATCCGTTGCCTGAAGCACCACGCCGCTGGTTGGCCCGGGACTACCTTCATTAAACACTCTCTGTCTGAGGGGAACTGTGCTTTATTCAGGAATGCTGCCCTCCGATGGACGGTGGAATTGGTGGCGGCGGCAGGGTGGCGGTGGCGAGGTTGGCAGTGGTGGGGTGGCGGCGACGGGCGTCTGGGAAGGGGCTACCAGACAGTCACACCTTAGCGCGAAATCACTGGCCGATCCTTGGCCACGGGAAACAGACTGACAGAGGGAGGGCCTGTCTGACCTGGGTGGGGCGGTGGGAGGGCAGGGGGCTGTGTGCAAGGGCCCCCCGCCACCAGGCCTCCCTTTCACTCCCTTTCCTCAGTCCCAGGGCACTGCTGGGAGTGAGAAGCTGGCCTGTGGGTGGGCTGGGGAGTCGTGCTGCCGCCCACTTTTCCTCCCCTGACCCGGGGTCCTGGGCGTCCTCAGGCCTTATAGCCAGGCTAGTGGCAGGGGGCTGCGGGACGCTGCAGGGGGGCGA